CCTTCCCCACATGCATGCATGCTCAGTGGTTCAGCAGTGTCTGACTCTCTGCGACCCCATGGACTGCAGCCCACCAGGCTCCTCTGTCCATGGAATTTTCCAGGCAAGAATACTGGAGTGGGTCACCATTTCCTCTTCCAGAGGATCTTCCCAACCCAGGGATAAAACCCATGTCTCCTGCACTGGCCGGTGGATTCTTTACTACTGATCCACCTGGGAAGCCCTCCTTCCGCACAAGACACTTTAAACACAAAAATATGACCTCATGAAGATACTCATCTAAATATCCAAATACAGTCCCCAAGAAGTTGACTCAAGGAGATGACTACAGCTCAGATTACAAGTTTTGGTTTAAGGTATAACTTGACAGAAAATATGAGGACAAAAGGGACACTTCAGGTTGTGTGTTGCTAAGAAAAGCACACTCTTTCCTTCACAATATACTTGTTCTTGGCAGGAATGTTGTAAGAATTAACAAGGGAACATGTGCAAAACATTCTGAGCTCTTAAAAGAAATGTAAGCTCTCTCTAGTAATCTGAAGGTGTGATTGACTGTAACTCTCACATTCTAACCAAAAGCAACCTGGGACTTGACAGCACTTTTCAACTTTGCTGACTGCAGACATCCCAGAGTGCTTACAAAGTCACACACAGCTTCATTAATTTTTCTCTCTTAAATACCAAAACCATCATAGGCCACTATTCTTTTCCACTTAAAACTACTACTGAGTTTAACTGTCAGTTGCAGTATGTGACTAAAGCCAGCATCTAAAGAAAAGCCCTTCCCATCAAGTTCACAAACACGAACTGAACTTTCACTTGCCACGACTGCTGCCTTTTGCAATCTGTTTCTCAGACTGTTACCAAAGAACCACCTAACCTCTCACACTTGATGGCTATAAACCCACCACTCTGCACTGCTATCCACCCCTCTAACTTGCAATAATACCCTCTGATCAAACAGTGGTCACCTGAGATACACTTACCAACCACTCATGCTACATTCAGGCCTTGACTTAATAATGAGTGTAACGCTAATCATTAGACTTAATTTTTGAAGTACTAAAAAGAAAATGATCTGTGTACTGAAGTCACAAACCTTTTTAAAGTGCACACTACCATCTAAGATAGGGGTTTCCCTAGTGACTCAGCAGTAAAGAATCCTCCTGCAATGCAGGAGACGCAGGTTTGATCCCTGGATTAGGAAGATCCCCTGGAGAAGGCAATAGCAACCCACTCCAGTATTCTTGCCTGGAGAATCCCATGGACGGAGGAGCCTGGTGGGCTATAGTCCATGGGGCTGCAAAGAGTCCGACAAGACTGCAGTGACCAAGCGCACATGCACACCATCTAAGATACTTGGCCGTGTATCTTTAATATATTTGTACGTGGGCTTCCCACGTGGGACTAGTGGTAAAGAACCCCTCTGCCAACACAGGAGATGTAAGAAACGTGGGTTCAATCCCTGAGTCAGGAAGATCCCCAGGAGGAGGGCATGGCAACCCACTCCAGCATTCTTGCCTGGAGAATCCCATGGACAGAGGAGCCTGGTGGGCTACAGTCCATAGGGTCACCAAGAGTCAGACATGACTGAAGCGACTAAGCACACACATTTGTATGTATTTGTTGGTTTTAAACTGTACATATGGGCTAATATATAATTATGAAACTAATCTGCAAAACAGAAATTTTAAAAGGCTGAGATAAAGAGCTTTTATGATTTTCTACCCACATCCCACATACTGTACCTTATTTGCCCTTCTTCAGAGACCACTGATTTAAAGAACTTTATTCTAGGGAACTTCTCTGGTAGTCCAGTAGTTAAGAATCCATGAGTCCACATGCAATGCAGGGGATGCAGGTTCCATCCCTGGTTGGGGAACTAAAATCCCAAACGCCACAGGGCAACTGAGCCTGCACACCTCAAAGAACTTATATATATAAGTTTTATATGTGTGTGTGTATGTGTGTGTACAAAAAGAACTTTACAGCCAAGGATCCTTTTTCTAGTACACATCATGATTAAGGAGGCTGCTTTAGCGCAAACTTTTATGGATAACCTGGCTAGGAGGGGATCAGTAACATCTAATTCAGAGGGTTTACTTTATGGCTCCTAAGAATTGACACCACAGTAATTATTTACTGTCATCTGTGCCTGAAGCCCTGTGCTCTGGGAGCTGCAGTCACTTGTGCTGAAAGCACCAGAGCAAGTGTTAAGAGGCATGGGTCCTATTTTTGAAGAATCCAGCCATTAAGAATACAGGAACATTCCAGCAATGTAACACTAACAAGTATTGTATTTATAAGAAAATGCTCAGAATCCCCACTATGGTCAACCCGCTGATTCCAGGATAGACAAAAAGATGGAGACAAAGACAGTTGGCCTGTGGTTCTCAAAGCAAATTATTTAATTTACTTCTGAAAATCAGAAAGCTCTGTCCTCTAGAGTCAGGGCCATTATTTCAGGCTGAGACAGCCGGCCAGCTTGAGGAGCCTGAGGGGGCACAGACCAGCTACTTGAGAAGAGTTACAGCAAGATGAACCTGATGACCTTTATTGTCTTCAGTCAGAAATCTCAACTTTCCTTCCGGCTTTTTAGGAGATGACCTGCACATTGCATTAATTTCCTTCCAAATCAGAAATTCTCCATCTTTTTCTAGTTAACAGGGATGCATTTACCTAAAGGAAGACTTGGAAATGTGCAACGGAGAGCTCAGTGGTGTCTCACTTACCTTCATGTAAGGAGATCTAAAAACATGACCTTCAGTTCCTACTGCAACACTGACAGGCAATAAGGAATGTGACCAGTGTAAAGTCAATTAATGATACTAGGTATGGCAATGCATTCTGGTATTGATACTTCTAAAGCCTTTCTGCCTAAAACACCTATTGATTGCTATCAACACTATCCACTGTATACTGTGGATAGTATCCAACACTGGCCACTGTACACACATAATCTTTAATGGTTAAGACTAAAATACAAGAGCAGCTACCATTACTGAAGATCTACTATGCGAGCTTTATGTGTATCATTTCTTTTCTTTCTTCAGCTTATGAGACTTAGCACCTCATTTTATAAATGATAAACAAATTTTGAGAGGTTACTTAAAATCGCATTTTGAGAGCACCAGGCCAGGATTTGCAACAAGATCTGCTCTAGAATCCTGTTTTAAAAACTACGTCACTACATGTTATAAGTTCCAAATCTATGTTTCTCTTTCTGCACATTTCATTCAATGATATGTTCTGTACTGTCTGGTTAAGAGCATAATTACAATAAAATATGATAAGCAATAATATTTTTGTATTGAAAAGCAGGCTTCAGGATCTAAAGAATGTATTCAAGTCCTAACTCTATTACTTACCAGCAATATTACCCAAGGAAATACATTTAAATTTCTGAGTGCCTGTCTTTGTTAACTGTAAAATAGGAATAACTATCATGTAGAATTGTTATGAAGATTAAATATGCATGCATGTAAAGAATATTGAATGGTGCCTGGTAACACAGTTAGCTTGCAATAAATGGTATTATTTTTAGATACACAAAATAGTATGACAACAGAAAGGATAAAACAGATCTGCCAAGAAGATGAAGGACACAAGTACGTGATATTCGGGAAAGGTTCCTAGTAGTTTCAGTGTCTGAGCTGAGCATGCAGTCTCTTTCCTAAATCCTCAGGAAGACCCAACAGGCTCGAGACTCATTCCTTGATATGAACTTGAACACCTTGGTAGTGCTAACAGTAAGCCCCGTCCTGAGGGCAAGACTGGAAGGAAAAAACAAAGACCAAAGTACACTGTGTGTGTTAACACTGGGCCTGAAATCAAAGGGCTCTGCGTGTTTTTCAGGCTCCGGCTGGGGTCAGTATGAAGATGGTGCTCAACTGCCCACTGGATAAAGCAGGACAGTCGCTCTCACCCCAGGGCACGGTTCTATTCTGTCTCAATCAGAAACTACCCAGCGGAGCTTGGGGACTGGACACAGGAGGGATGGAGCAGGTCAGGACTATCTCACACAGCCCTCCCGCAAACTGGTCATTACGGACAAGAGATTAAAATTAAGTTCTTCAGCATGCAATGCCTAGACTGAATGCCTCTAAAACCAAGCACAGACAGGCCTGCTTGAGGTTTAAACGTCAAAACCATGAGCATTTAAAGGGGCTGGGGTTTCAGGGTAAGTCTGTACACAGAGATAGTTTGTGCTATTTCCACCAGAGAGTTAAAAGAACTTTTTAAGTTATGAAAAATACTCTGACTTCGACCTTTAGAGAAACAATATGATTATTTTGACTCTTTCAAATATAATCCTTAAGGTACTTTAAATAGCAAGCAGCATTACTTAAAAAGGCAAATACTGTCAAAAATAAATTAAGCTACAGGGTAAGGGAGCAACAGGACTTTTGAGCGCTCTTTAGAGAGCTACAAGATTCATGACTTCATGCTTAATAAAAATGTCACAGATGCACAAAGTTCTCTGGGATACTCCATGCATCTGAAAAGAATGATTTCAGTACACGCCATGGCTTTAACACGAATGAAAGGAAATAATTTTCTAAAACTAGTACGATACTACACTAGTCAGTTAAGCTGATTACCTGTACTTCATTTACCCTTCAGTCACATTATTTAAGTAATGTTTTTTTTTAGTAGGCCCACGACTTACACAAATTAGCCACAAGCTATACTAGGCATTGATTTGCATTTTCTGTATGGTTTAGATCTTAATAACATCCTTCAGACGTCAGGAAGTAGGTACATTTTGATGTCCACCTTCTTGGTTCTATCTGCCAGCATTAACTCAGCCAATTTGACCTCCAAGAGCACCACTTTGACCTCAGCACTCCACTCCCAATACTAAGCACATAATACATCACTTCACAAATGATGGAAGAAATCAGAGAGTACCCCGGCAAGGACACCACATTATAACCAGCAGCTAATGCCTGTGAATAATTCCAGTAAGAATGAACCCAGGTTAAGAATGATGTACGTACCTGCACCACAGGATCTTTTGGTTGGTGTGATTAACGAGACATGAGCTGTGTCTGTGCATGGCCCACCTAGAAACAGAAAGGCAGGCACAAGAGTCAGTTCACATCCTCTGCATACCCAGAGGGGCTGTCTTGGATAAAGAGAAACCTAAAATGGAAGGGATCAGTCTGCAAACATGCATAAAGAGGAGCAGCAGACAAAGATGAAGATGGTGGTGGTGGTGGTGGGTTAATTTTTAGTTCAGCAATTCAGTCTAAAGGTCCACATTCTTTCTATATTGTAACATCCTTTACATTAAAAAAAAAAACACCTAATCTCACATAATGTTAAGATATTAAAGAACAAAATTTTAACTAGAATTCTGATCTGGGTAAGAGTAAATTACCCTTAAGTTCAGGGAGATGAATTTTCCACACAGCAATAAGCAGGAGTCTCCTTCTTAGGTTTATCTCAGTGGTCACCCCACTTCTGAATTTACTGCAAAACTGGCCTTATTTAAAGTAGGCAGGGAACCTCCCTAAAGAACTACTTATCAGAAGAAATGAGGATCATTTTAATATTTAAAGACAGCACTGCTAACCAAGAAAGACTATCTAGCTTACTTATAAAAATATGACACAAAGAGGGCCTTCATGGAGTTTTCATGGCCCAGGGAGCTGATGGATAGGTATAATTCAAGAGTATGAGAGACACAGTCAATCAGTGGGTGAAGACTTGAAACGCAATCATTTCATTCTATAGAATCAGGACCACAAACAAATTCTTAACCTGATATTGATATATACTCCAATACTCTACCTTCTAAAATAGGAAGTTACTTTATAAACTTGAAGACCAGAGGTTTCTACATGCACTGGGAGGGGCAACAGAGATGATCATTCAGGAATGGGGCACACAAGCAAATATCACACAGATCATTTGAAAAGTCTCTCCAGGTGACTAGAATGAAGGAAAACATGATTATTTCACATAACTGCTTATCACCTATGGGGCTTCCCCGTTGGCGCAGTGGTAAAGAATCCAACTACTAACGCAGGAGATGTGGGTTCAATCCCTGGGTCAGGAAGATCTCCTGGAGAAGGAAATAGCAACCCAATCCAGTATTCTTGCCTGGAAAATTCCATGGACAGAGGAGCCTGGCAGGCTACTTTCCTTGGGGTCGCAAAGAATCAGACATGACTTAGCGAATAAACAACAATATGTCATCTATGACCAAACTTCCTATCATTGAAGTTACTCATCAAAAAAGAAGGAAATGAAAGAGCTCAGAGTTTGTGCCACCAAGATCCATGGATTTAGGATCCTAGATATCCCACCAAAGAAGTTCATCATTAGTCTACTCTTTCCTATACCAAGGCCCAAAACAGCAGCAAATCTTAGTGGGTGTAAGGAGACACTGAGAGAAAACAGTAAAAGGTGGAAAAATCAAGTAAGCATGTTGTTAATGTCAAAGAGCACCTAGCAAATACTTTGATGTGCCCCTACAGGTTAGTCTCATGCTCAAGGGCTTATAATCTTGTGAGAAAGACAAAATTTGTGCACTTACACAAAGAATAATACATGACAGCAATAAAGAGCTAGATGCAAAATGATCAAGTGCCAAAGAATATGGAACAAGTAATAAATGCTAAATGTAATCAGGAAGAAGGATTATTCATCATTGGCCAGCATTACCTGGAAATACTTCTCAAGGATTTGAAAATGAGGCAAGAATAAATTAAAAGTTACAAAGACCAAAAAAAGAGGGCAAGAAAAACTGCGAAGTTTTATACAAATGTCACATTCAGCAGAGAAAGCTTAATATACTAAAATCCCAGAGGTCCAAATAAGCACTAGTGATATGAAAATAAGCAACACGGAGAGACAGTAGTGATTGCAAGGAAGACTAATTCAGACCCCACATCCTCAAAACCCACTGGGCACTAGCTCTGTAGCTTCATAAAATGTTATAGCTTCTGTTCTCAGGTGTGATTTTTCTTTTGCTTTTTTGTTCTTTTGTTAAATGAATAATTCTTATTTCAGGAAAAAAAAGCAGTTAAGCCCTACAACTACTCTTCAGTTAGTAACCCCAAATAAGTGATCCTTAGGGTTTTTTAACAAAAATATGCTGATAGTAAAATTGCTCATAAACCACAGAGTTAATGAGATCATCTATACAAAAAGACTTCACAAACTATAAAGTTTTATGTTATGTATCTTCACTGTTTCTGCCATGAGGTTTTATGAACCCAAGGGTCAAGATTCACTTTGTCATTTACTCTTGGGTCATGACTGTATTGGAGAAGGAAATAGTAACCCACTTCGGTATTCTTGCCTGGAGAATCCCATGGACAGAGGAGCCTAGTGGGCTACAGCCCATGGGGTCGCAAAGAGTCAGACACGACTGAAGCGACTAGGCAGCGTGACTGTATGGACAAAGGGCACTTAATAGTATTCAGTAAGTGACCACTGCAAGCCACTTGATCGAATCAAGATTGAGAAGTGTACATTTTTTTAAAACTTTTTTTCTATTGAGGTTTAACATAAAGAGAATGAAACACTAGAATGAAGTGTACAAATCTTAAGTATATACCTTAAAGGGTTTTAAACACATATATACTTGTGTAACAACCACCAAATAAAAATATAGAAACATTTCTGGAATCCAGAAAGTTCAAGGGTACATTTAAAAAATACATATTTCCAGATCTTGACTCTGGAAATTTCGATGCAATAGGCTGGGGTGAGCATTGGAAGAGACTAATGTACATTTTTAAACCAGCTGAGCACAATGTACATATTAACAGCCCAGTTAGTTCCAATCTCTGGTAAAACTAACTCCCAGCTTGATATATGGCCAAAATCATTGAGTTCATACAATACTGTGAGCCACACAAAACACAAGGGTCAATAACAGCTTAACTAGCAGAATATTTGTTTAAAAGGTCATAAAATAATTCACTGACTAAAACTGTAAGAACAGAGAGAAACTAGTTTAATCAAAATCCCTGAAGAAATTTGGCTGGGACTCATGAATTAACTCTCCCATGTTTACAAATGCAATCTTTACCTCATCTGTAGGTTGAAGGTTTATCCTGTTGAAAATTCCTAATGAATGAATTTCTGTAGGTTTTGGCAAATATGCAAATAACTTTAAGGCTACCTAGCATATCTCAACATGTATCATCATGAAAGTGTTCTCCAGAGAGCTTGTTAAACTAACAACCCAATCCAATGTATTCACTACATTACAGTAAAGCACAAATAGAACCATAGCCGAGTCAAAACAAATTGACAGCAAGAGTAACAGGCAGTGATAATATATCCCAGCTTTGATAATTGGACAATATTATAAACACAGAGCTTGGAATTAAGTTTGGTCTGGCAGACTATAACCTATGAAACTCTTTAAAATCCAGATCAGATGCATATGAGCAATGCACATATATTCTATACTAATTGTGCTGTCATATAAAATTCCTATACTCTCAAATAAAAGGAGTAACCGCAGGAGGTAACAATATCCACTCTTACACAATTAATTGCAAGTCAATACTGTTACACTGAATTCAGGAAATTAAGGGCCACCCAAAGGGACCCTTTCCAGGTTTGGGTCCACAACAATAAAAATATAGCATTAGTCTCATTGGGTATGGCAAACAAAGTAATTTTGAGAGTTGATAGTAAAGGTCAAACTCGGGGCATCTGTTCCATAAGGGAATGGAGCTGGCTAATGTCTGCAAGGGGGGCTGGCATATGGTCTCATAAATCATTATAAATTCTGCTCCTATTTTTGGCCTCTTCCTTCCAAGCAGCAGGATGGGCAGAGCTAATACTTGAAGAGCAAAATGAAGAAACCTTTTCAGGCCTGGGATCTACAGGTAAATGTAGAGATGCTGTGTCTGTTGGGATCAAGAGTGGAAGGTTGGGAAAATAAATGCATTTCTAAGCACAGGACAATTCACACCATACCCTCTATCCTATATTAATAGCAAGTGAGTTTGGAACAATGAGTTTGGGGTTGTTAAAGATTAAAAATAAAATCACAGTTAAGGTTCCTTGCTTAATATGACACTCACTGAGAATTTTGAACCAGACAATATCAAGATTAACTCACCTGAACTTTTAGCCAATCACCATGAGTGTTTTCTGTTTTCTTTTGCTAAAGCAAAATTAAATATGTGACCTTTTTCAAGTTTCTTCATTATCTGAAGATACTTAATACTATCATTTTTCACTTGATATTATATTCAGAATTTTTCCTAAGTTTCCACAATTCAGAGTCTGGAATTTGCATGTAAATAATGTCTGTGGTAGCTTGTGGCTTGTGACTTAAGTCTGAATACTCTATCTTGTCTTCTAGGGATGCTTCTATTCTTGTATCAAAGGTGTCATACATAATGCAGCACCATGGATCGCATTTGCAATTCCACATGAGAGCTATGAAATGAAATTCTCCAACTGTATTCCCAACAACCAGAAATCTTTATAGCCTATGCAATAGGGCAGTGGATTTTTTTCAGGAGACTGTACTGATTTCAGCGGTGTAAAGTAAAAGACAGGTCAAATCTGCATATTAACTTCACTTGTAACCTGCAAAACCAGACGGACTGAATAAAGGTATCCTGTCAACTATCAACTTTCACATTTCAAGCAGAAGTGGCAGGAATCTTATATTTTCTTTTTCAGCCTCCTGCACACTTACTGAGCATGTCAAAAAACACTGAGCTTCCAACGTAGCAGTCAATCCAACTGACTGAATGGAGACTATGACTCAGGAAAAAGTCCAGAACACAAGCTGCATTTATGCTGGCCCATCATCTTAGGCACTCAAAAATCTAAGGCTGAGTAAATACAGAAAAACAGTACTTCTCCTTAACCTTGAATAGAGATCAACAATTTTCAAGAAAGGTCTTATTAAAACAGCTGTGATGAGTGGTTATTTTTGGCTCCTGATTTCACTAGTCCTCACTAGCTGCACTTATACCACATGCTAAACCACATCAATTAGGAAAAATGGTCTGTCAAGGAGTCAGTCAGCTAAAAATTGCCAGAAGCTCGATAATCAAATATTCTACTATCAGCTCTT